GCTGGGCGTGCTGCGTGTCAGCATGCATGGGCTTGTGTGCTGAGCTGGAGCGTCCCTGCTTTGCATGGGACAGTGAGCTGACAGCTGCTTGTGCTACCCCCCGGTCCCCGTCCCCCCACAAGCTGCATTTTGGGGTCAGGAAGAAGTAAAGGAGTCCCTGCAGATGCTGCTGGGTTAGCCACTGCTGCTGGTGCTGTGCCAGGGGGGAGCAGTAAAGCAGGGGAAGGTCTTTGCTGGAGGAATGGGAAAGCAGGTATGGGGTGGTGAGCAGGGACAAGAGGGACTGAGGAGCTGCAGGGGGTGGTGAGCAGGGACGAGAGGGACTGAGGAGCTGCACGGGGCAGTGAGTGGGGATGAGAGGGACTGAGGAGCTGCACAGGGTGGTGAGCAGGGACAGAGCTGCTGGCAGGGGGGGTTCTGTCTCTCTGCATCGTGGGAGGGTGGGAGAGGAGGCCAGGGCGATGCTGGTGGGGTGGGTAGGGTCAGTGATGTGCACTGTCGATGTGGGTGTGCGAGTGAGAGGTGAGGTGGCGAGGGACAGTGGGGATGAGCCTGAGAAGGGGCTGAAGGGGTGAGATGAGGTTGTGCGGGGTGGCTGGGCACGGGCAGCTCCTGGCAGGGTGGTGGTGTTTGTGGCATTTCCAGGACAGGGTTTGTCCCTGCCTGAGGCAGGTGGAGGGTGTGTGGGCTCCTTTCCCGAGCTGTGGAGCAGAGAGGAAGGCACGTCTCGGCGTGGAGCAGGGAGGCAGGGCATGTAGCACAGGGCAGGTAGTGTCCTTCCCCTCATTATCTCGTCCTTGGGCTCCTTGGCATTGCTGCCAGGTTTCAAAGCCTTTGTGGTGCTCTCAAGTCACGTTTTCAAGCCCTTCCCTGCAGCCCCATCACCACAAGCTCCCTGCTTTGCTTTATCGACAAACCCTCCCCTTCCCAGGCAGTGGCTTTTCTCTCGAGCAGGACCGGGGGGGGGGGGGGAGGCAGTGGCTTGTCCCTGGAGCAGGACTGGTGGATGTGGTGCTGGCACTGGCTGTACACAGGGGTGGGCACTCTTGCCACCCCTCGATGGGGAGTGAACTCCTGGTGTCGGCAGGTGGGTTCCTTCACATCTCCGGTTTGCACCCTCCAGAAAAGTGAATCCAGGATCTCAGGATCCCCCACCAGCCCCTGAGATGCCCACGGCTGAGCTATCTGTGGGGATCCAGAGCTCGTCTCTTTTCTACGAGCACATTTACCAGCTGCCTGTTGCTGCAGCCTGTCTGAGGCCACGGCTGGCAGGGTACAAGCCAGAGTCCTGATGTCCCCCCTGCTCCTTATGGAAACCCTTGACGAGGTGGGGATCAGCACCGTTGTCATCCTCCCTGTCCACCCTCCTATCCTGCTCCTGCTTCGCTTTATGGCTTCCCTCTGCTCTTGCCTGCACCCGCTCTGTCTCTGCTACATCTGCCTGCAACTAACCCCTCGTGGAGCATCTCCCAGGCGTGAGCTCTTACTCTCCCCCGGGCCCTAGCCTGGCTGCTGGGGAAGGTCCAGCTCTGCTTTCTGCCCCGGTCCCCTTGGGGCTGAGGGCTGCTGGGGAGCAAGGTGTGGGTGAGACCTCCGGGGCTGGTATGGGTGCTCTGTGCCTCCCACCCCAGGAGAAGGCTGGGTGCTGTGAGGAGCTGGAGAGTCCTAGCTGGAAGGCAGGCCATGAGTCAGTGTCCCCAGCAGTGGTCCGGCGGCCAGGGCAGCTCCCAGACTGGCCACAAATGGGAGTGGGTGCTGGCTGCAGGATGTCCCAGGTGCTCTGTCCTCTGGCCACCAATAACCTCTGTGCCGCTGTGTGCCAGCCCCCTGCCAAGGACCCCGGCATCCCCCTGCCACCTTGCAGGGGTGGAGGTGAAAGTCCAGGGTGGTGGGAGGCTGGTCCCCCCAGGAGGTAGGCAGGGGTGGCAGCACGCACAGGAGAGGGTGCAGACAGGGAAGGGCTGCGGGAGAGAGCTCAGAGAGGGATTTCCGCATGGGCAGATGGGTCCTGTGGGAAAGGGGACAGCGGGAGCTGGGCCGTGAGCACAGGGCAGATGAAGGGAGAGCCTGGGATGGTGGTGGGTGCCCCATGGGCTGAGGGGATGCTGCCAGAGCCGGGTGGGACCCTGCCAGCATCCCGCCACACCACGGGTGTACATGTTTAAGTGATCCTGCTCCCAAGTCAGCACTGCCTCCAGGGCACCTCTCTAGCCTCTCACTTTTGTTATGGACCTCGACAAGGGATTTATAGCTCTATTTTTTTGTCCTTTCTTTTCCTACAACTGTCGTGTTACTGACTGTTGACTCAATCTATCTGGGAAATCAACCTGTCAATGTAAGTGCACTTAACCCTTGGGTGTTGTCGTTAGTCGACTGGCTTTTGCTAAATAAATCTTTCTATTTCTCAAGGCTTTCTGTTGTCTCTTCCTTCTCGCTGCCTCTGTCTCTTCCTGTACTTCTCTCCCTCTCCACGCTGGGAGCCAGTGCCAGCGGTGGCAATCCCTTGGCCTTGCACAGACCTCCCCCAACCTAAGCATCCTCCCCTGCAGGACCCGTGCTTGTGGTGCCAGCCACGGGCTGCCCGTGAGAGCGAGGTACCCCAAATGTTGCTGGGGGTGGAGGGGTTTCAGCCTTCCCCTTCAGCCACTGCACAGTGCAGGCTCATCTCAGGGCTGACCTGACAGCTCAGGGGTGCTGGGGGGTTCCTGGCATCTGCAGAGCTCCCCACAGAGGTGCAGAGATGCTAAGCAGCACTCTCAGGGACTCGGAAGATTTTTATCTGTTGGGCGAGGAAATATTGGGAAGAGCCTCTCTTAAAGGATGGTGGAAGCATTGTGGAGGCAAGAGCTGCAGGCAAATGGGGCCTGCTGCTTCGAAAATAATTTATTCTGCTGCTGGCAGGAGTGATGGAGCAGTGCCCTCCCGCGGCAGCTGCCTGGCTGGCAGGGCTATATGGGCGCCTGGGGGGCTGCAGCCTCCTGCTGCTTGCGTTCCTTCTCCCACAGCACCTTGAGCCTGCGGTAGTACACCTTGCAGCTGTAGCCCTCCTTCGAGCTGTGCTGGATGTGGGTCTTGAGCGAGCACAGTGTGGGGAACATGCGGCAGCATGACACGCACTGGTAGCCGTGCTGGGACGCTGGCTGGCGCTGGGAAGCAGTGAGGATGTCACACACCGTGATGCTGGCTGTGCTGCTGGCCAGGCTGTCCCCCCTGGGCAGCTGGGGCTTATCCGAGGAGCCAGAAGAGGAGCAGACGATCTCCGAGAGGTCATCAGGCTCCTCGGGCTTCTGGGTGCAGGTGGCCGGGCAGGAGGAGAAGCTGCCCCAGTGCTGAGGGATGGCTGCTTTGGCGGATATGAAGTAGCTGTAGGGTGAGAACCAAGACCGGTAGATGATGTGGGAAGGGAGGTCGCTGTCTGGCGGGGCTGAGGGGCTGCAGGCTGTGGAGGAAAAGGTCTGCAGTGAGGCAGGGGTCCCTGCAAGAGCCTGGCCCCTCACAGGGTTAGAAGTGGTGCTGGGGACCCTTCCTTTCTGTCTCTATGGGATGCAGAGGTGGCTGGCTCTGTCCCAGTACATCCCCCTGGCGTGAGGGTACCATCCCTCCTCCCACGGGATGCAGGGGTCGAGATAGGCGCGGGATGCAGGAGGCACTGAGGCACCGGCATGGCACAAGGCTCCTATGGGAACCATCCCACGGAGAGCAGCACTAGGGAGGGGGCGAGCTGGCGCTCCCCGGGGTAGGACCCGCAGCTTTGAGGAT